TTTCATCAATGGGCTTACTATGCTTTGTAGCCGCAAAAAGCCCATGAGGCATGATTTTGCCGTTGAAGAGTGACAGAATAGAGTTATGTCGAGTACCACTTTTCTGAGTGTTGTGTACTACGTCCTCTTGTGAGTACCCAACCAGAAAAAGTGGTAACTTGTTCCTACACATTTTTTGCAGGGGTAATGTAAATTGATGGGCGGAAGTGGTGTAGTGGCAGGTGACGCGTTGACACACATGCATGGTCACGGGTTCGAATCTGGGACCAATATCCATCAAGATCAACCAAGACTTCCGCGACCAACTCCCATGGTCGGTGAATTGGTACCAGGATCGTCTGGGAGGTCAAAAACACCGACTTGTACATCGGCTGGCCACCGCAATTCCTCGTACAGGCCACCTAGTACACATTCAGAAAGCCTTTATGATTCTGAACGCAAGACGAATGCGGGGCGCATTCCTTAGACGGGTCGATCCACTCGGAACAATCTATCTTGCTATCCTCCAATGTCGAATGACGAGAAGAGAGGAACTTGCTTAGATCGTTTCCATCACTGCGCAACTCTCGAGCTCCCACCGGTCAGGAAAGGGCAACAAGCTGTCAGAAAAGCTCTTTAGGCCCATTAAAGTACAACCAATTCAGGTACTCCATGAATCAGTGCCTTTAACTGTTTGCCCTTTCCCCATACTGGAATGTGACAATCGCACCGAATGAATAGAGCGGTAACACTTAATTGATCTTTTTTCCCCTCACTTTTTTCCGATTGTCGTCAATTTGTGGACCCCCTGTGGATTGCACGTCTGAAAATGTTTCGGTCAACGACAAATGGACAGAGCTTTTTGAATGCAAAGCAAACTGAAAGCCGAGTTCTCGAAATTGCAGGCTGGCCACTTAGCTTTTCAGCCTGCTCAAATTATTCATTGAATGGGGAACAAGCCAGCAACTCAATTGCAACATTCCTGCCTGGTTTTGGGGGCCGGTCGATCTCAAACTGTTTCTCTATTATCAAAAAAAACTGGAAAAAAGGAGAAATTCTTGAGAATCGGACCTTATGGTCCAGTAGAAACTGCTGCACTGATGTAACCAATTTATTTTCAATAGAAACATAAAAGGACCATCTGACACACCAAAGAGCAATGTTCCAGTTTAACATGGCCCTTCATATTTTTTTTTTCGCCAAAATTCATAGACGGCCCCCACTCGTAATTCATTACAATAATAGGGCATTGGTAAATCTTACAACTTACAAAATAAGGGATAAAAGACTCAGAATTCGGGCTTAATCAACCCCTCAATCGGTGTGCGCCACGCATTCGACTTCAATTTAGAATCTAGTGGAGTATTGGATGCGCATGTGGCCTATATAATGACTGACGGTGGTCAGCTGATGTGCAAGTCAGCGCTTTTATTCTCCCAGACGAGTCTGGTACCAATTTACCGACCCCAGAGAGATGGACGGCTTGGCTGGCCTAGACGGATATCGACCTGGGATTCGAATCTATGACTACGCATGTGAGTTGTGCGCCACTTGCCACTACACCACCTCCTACGGGAATAAACCGGCAATATTAATAATCAAAAGACATTTTTTTTCATAGAGACAAATATAAGGAGGCATCTCTTTGTCCGATAGACTCACTGCGTACGAACCTCTTTGTTCTCTTCACCTATGCATTGCATTTCAACATTTAATCATGTTTTTAAGGGCCTTTTCCACAAATGAAACAATTGTTTTCCAACTTTTAATTTAATGACACCAATTCCTCTCAAGTTAGCCTGCAAGGTTTTCCTTTCCTTAAACAGCATTTATCGATACGTTGCCACATGCTTATTTCGCTCAACTTAACCATTGTCCTTATTGCTTGCTGATTTTGATGATTTTGAAAATAATTCTTTCTCAGATTCAGCTCCCAAACATGTGCAAAAACTGTAAGTAAATAAAGAAAGAGAATTGATGGAAAAATTCACGGCGAGGCTAGTTCTGCGTGAGGTAATTTACGTAGGCACTGCACGAAACTTAGTTGGCTAGGACAGCTATAGTGCGACGTCGACGTCAGCGTCGGCCGACATTCGACACAACTCGATGACTTATGCTGCTGGGCGCTGACGCAGAGGGATGGGTACGAAAGAAAGATTCGGATCTAAAGTTTTAATTTTAACAAGAAAGGGAGGGCTTACTTCACTTTTTTGTTGTAAGGTGTCCTACCAAGCAGAATGGAGTACTGGCCCCTGAAAGTGAGAAAGGAAGCAGTCGCGAACGGAACAAGGAGGTCGGAAAATTGTAGTATATTCCCGCGTTCGAGAGAATGACCTATCTTCAACCTTCTGGAACACTAAAAAAATAGCCTTTTTAATCTTTTCACGAATTGAGAATCCCACAAAAAATCTTCCCTTCAACATGTTCGTTTGCAAGGTATTGATCGACAGGCGACATCGGCGTCGGCGTTGAAACGCCGTACTATGAATGCGGTGACTCAGATGTAGATGAACGTTATGCAGTTGGAGAAGAATGTGGTGCTGTCGAAGTTGTTTGTTCAAAATGCTTATGGCACGACAGAGCGAGTTCACGGCAGAGCAATGACTAAATAACCTCGGTTTGAAAGCAGTGTGAATAACAATCTTATCAGGAAAACAATCTACACGCTCTCATAAGGCAATTTTTTAGGGTCGTTTGGAGAACATAAAAGTCAGTAAATTTCTTCGGTGTGATTTATCCGATCTTAGAATGGTAACGCTCACTCAGCTTCAGATAACTTGCTTTTGAGTGCTACTTGTTGTTTGTTGTGGCAGAATTTGAAAAGCTCGAGGACGTGGGCGTAGCCATTTCATGTCGTGATCAGTGTTCTCCTTCTTCTGGGGCGCATGATTGCAGAGCTTACAGCAACATGACGTCGGGCTTTCAACTTCGAATCCCCGCTTCCAATGCATTTTTGTTCACAGTTTTTTGGAAACTTTTGTATACTGCCCCGATATCGCCCTCTTAAGCGCTTTCCCTCGAATCCCTCTGATGGGATTCCGCGAATGGTCCATAGAACTTGGCTCTTTATCGTCAGCGATAGGAGATCCTCAAATTTTTATATTCTTTCCAGGGACAGTAACAAAAAGAAGTTACTTTTATACTTGGTCCGGCGACGAATCCCTTTTATACTTTGTCCAATGGTGAATCCCCAAAAGGTATCTTCGTCCACCACCCCGCCGAGATTGGGTCACAATCGGCAATCGTTTCAGGACCCTTCGTTCTGAGAATCGTAAGCCCCACTGGCAGCTCAAAGCGGTGTTCGAATAGTGATCCAAGCCTTCAACAAAATGGTGCTCTTTCGCCGCTGGAACCTCCGTTGAAGAGTCCCCAATCCGCCATGGGATCATCAACCCAACAATGTCGCCAAAGCAAAAAAACACTGCATATAAGATTGATGTGTTTGGCCAATGACGTTGCGAAGGATCAGTACGAGTGAGGATGACAATATTTGTGAGTGTTGTGGAAGCTAAACGAAGTTAGTGGGAACCGATGAAAGACTTGAGGCTCTTTCGTCTGGAGTGCCAAACTAACAAATTAGGCGTTCTTAGGAGAGCCTCAGAGGTTTTGAACTTCCGATTTGTGTTCGGCATGTGGAGATTCGGGAACTATTGAAGTGTTCCCTGGCGTCATGGGCTGCGTTTCCACACAAATTTTCGACACCAGCTTAGGCTTCTAATCAAAAGGGTAAAGAAGACCAACAGATGGTTGAAACCACCATTCCAGTCTTCCACATGAATTTGATCGAGGAGGAGATCATGTAAGAAGTTGTAGCACACTTGAAATTTATGCAATGCGGATTTCCTCACCATAAAACACAATTATTTACCAAATATGCCTAATAATTCTATGGGATCCAGCTGTATTATNACTACAACTACTTCATAACGATTTATTTCAATCTGCGTTTGTAAAAATAAATCGGTTTCCCGGAACAGTCGCCCTAGAGAGAACGCACGTATCCTTATAACTGTGAAGTCATCTTTCAAAAATTTATCATCTCATAATTCTTAATTCTTTCATTCTTATTCATAATCATCTTCTAATTGAAGATTGTCAAACAGGTAGGGTCTGGCTATGATCACGTTGGAACTGCGCGACGTGCTTGCACTGACCTCTTTCGGAGTAGCGTTGAGCGCAGAGCGTTGAGCGTTGCTGGCGGTCTGTTGACAACACCGGTCCTTGATCGATACCGCACGGGTCGGTGGTTAATAATTTCTTGAGCGAGTCTTTATTGGTGGTGGCATTTCACTTTTGCTACATTTTTTGTGATTGGTTTTGATTTTCTTCATCTTTGACTACTATGGTGTGTTGCTATAAGGACATCATTGTGGAAAAACACTACGCAGCTCTGCTTGGAAAATAACATGCTCCAACGAAATCATTGCCATCGGCGAAGCGGCTTACCGCGCTTGACGCTTGGCGCTGTACTCTGAGAGCGCCCACTTCTCGAATTTCCGAGTATGATCGTAAGACTATCAGATGTTTATGTACTAGACCACTCCTGTTAAAGAATGAGAGACGTCCTCCTACACCGTGGCATCTACGTCGTCATCACTCAATTACAAGGCAGTGGGGATAACGACTAGTAGACTACCTAGCTTTCACTACAGAATGTGAACTTACTTTCGTAAAGCTATATCTGCTCTAGAACCTTTATAAAGGGTAACGAGGATTCATTGTGGTGAACGTTGTGATGATCCAAATTCTTGAGCGCCCTGATGTACATACGCATGGAATCGATTTCCACTACGGTGGCCACGAAATTTCGTTTCAAGACCTCCACCGCCTCTGAGGTAGTAATAATGGAATTACCATCACGTTTATTTTGTCTAAAGGTAAACAGCTCAAGTACTGAGTGCTGCACACTCTCAGCACGTTTAGAGGGCACATCAATCTTTGAGAGTTCTTTTCTATTTCTATGTCGAAAAATAGATTACAGAGCGATTTTCAATTCATTTCTGTTTTTTTAAGATTACGAGATGTACAAAATCCATCGTGATGGCGAGAAAGAGGGTCTTAAAGCCGAAAAAGTGAGTTTTATGTCATTTCATTCAGTGATACGGACAGTAGTAAGCTTGCTAAATATGAATAACCAAAAAAACGACAAAGTGAGGACTAATTTCTAGTCTCTGTCCTCAAATTCGAAGATGAATGGGATGAACACAGCTCTAGAGCAAAACATACTTATTGTTCCTGGTAAACTAACAGTTGTTCGATGCTCATGGAAAAAGTACCTTGAAGGCATATAACTATGTACAGTATGAAATATTTTTTCGAGGCTTACAGATTTACAATTGCCTCTCGAATATCCCTTTTCTGGATAACTGGCCAGATTAACACTTTGGGTGAGTTTCTGGTTGGGCGAAAG